CACAAGGTCCCTGAGTGCACACAAAGTGGGGCGACCCCAGGAGGAGAGAAACCTGCTCTCGGTCTTGCCCATCACATCCCGCACAATCTGAGCCAGAGCAGAGGGCAGCAGGCCTGTGCCCCTGCCCTGTGCGGGGGAGAGGGAGATCCACCACTCAGTGCAGCCACACAGAACCCCATGCTGGAGCCTCACAGTGGGTGGATAAAAAGAACTAGTGGCTCCAGGGATTGGGGGAAGCAATGAACCTGAGCCAGGACAAGCAGGAGGCAGGGTCACGGCCTGAAGAAATAAGGCCTCCAGCATGCCATTCCTTTCATGCTTATCCCTCAAAGGCCACACCCAAGGACAGGGAGTAGATACAAAAGAGAGGGCTTTGGGTTTCTGGCTCCCTCCTTGGCTAGGGAGCTGCTGGCCCTGAATTGCCACGCACTGAGTCTTCACTCTGGACTCTCACTGTGGCCACATGTCCCTGCTGGCCACAAGATGGGCACCTGAGCCCGCACCTGAAGCCACCTCTGGGGACCTGGAACCCTCCCTGGGCATCTTTGTATCCAACGTTGCTTGGGGCTCCTCTCTGGCAGCTCGGTGGCCACCAAGCCCCTCCTATGGAAGGAAGTGAACTGAGTCATGGGACGACACGCCTGCGTCACAGCAGGTTGATCTCATCTAGGTAGTGCACAAGCACCAAGTCCTGCACATCTTTGAAGAGCTTGCGAATGTTCAGCCACTACAGGTGTGCCACAGACATGCAGAAAAGGCGGTGGGAGCATTGGCCCATCTTGCTGCCTTTGGGGCTGTTGGTGCACCCATCATACATCCTGAAGTAGGTGTTCAGGATGAACCTATTGGCAGCATCTGCATTCTGCATAGGGTCTGGGGGAAAGGAGTGAGAATGAGGAGACTCCTTTGGAGCTTCCTCTTCCCCAGGTGACACTCAGGCTATCTTTTCTCTGGGTGGACGCCATGTTTTGGCTTCATATCTGGTCACATAACTCCATCCAGGCCAATAAGAGTGAAAGATGACCTCCATGAATCACATGATCTGGAACTGCCTAATGAGGCTCAGCTCATGGACCTTGGCCTGGACCAGGAGCCTACTGTGAGGAGGGTTCCAGGGCTGCATAGACTGGGAGGGTCAGGTCTTGGTGTGGGCGCCCTGGGGACCTTCAGGAGTTCCAAACAGCAAAGCTGCTGTAGCCTTAGCCCTGGCTCTGCTCTTGCTACTGGGGTCACCCCTGTGAGTCTTAGATTCCCCGGTTTTGGATTGATGAGAAGAGCTCATGGTTGATGAAAACACCAAGTTCTGCTGCAGAGCATGGTGTCGGGGAGAGAGAACAAAGTTCCACCTTTTGCTTCACTCCCCAAATGCCCACAGCAGCCGGGGCTGGGCCAGGCAAAGGCCAGGAGCCAGGAGCTCCTTTGGAATCTCCCTCGAAGATGCAGAGGCCTGAGCATTTGTGCATCTCTGCTGCTCCCAGGGAATGTGAGCATAGAGTTGGATGGGTAGCAGAGGAGCCAGCACTGTAAACCAGGTGCTTTGACATGGGGGCCGGTGTGTCCAGGGCTGCCAGGGCTGCCAGGGCTGTTGCAGTCCCACATCTGCACATACCATGGAGGACGTGGGTGAGTTCAGCATGCATGGGCAGCTCTTAGTGGCTTGCTACTGTCATGATGCCATTTAGTGCAGAAGAGGGAAGGGAAAACTGCACTGGGCACTTGTGCTGGGAGATAGTGCTGGGGGATGCTTTCCTGAATGGAAACAAATCCCTTAAACCTGGGACGGGGAGGGGTGCAGCAGGTTAAGCTGCTGCTTGGGGCACCTGCACCCCATGCCCAAGTGCCAGCTCAAGTCCCAGCTGCTCTGCCTCTGATTCAGCAACCTGATAATGCACCTGAGAAGGCAACAGAGATGGCCCAAGTGTTTGGTTCCCTGCCACCCGCATGGGAGACCCAAATGGAGTTCCTGGCAAGGACAAATGCCTGACCCATCTCTGGATTCGCTTCTCATCACTCTATCATACCTTTTGCTATACACTCCCACCGTGCAAGGCCAGGGGCTCTCCACCAGAAAAGTGAGCTAAATAGACTTCGTTATACAATAGGAGACATACTACATGGTTGTCTACAAATTATTTATCAGAGGTTTGCTCAGTGTTCTTATTTCATACATATTTATCTGTTGATTTTCACTTTAGAAGGCATTGAGGAACAGAGAAAGGAGAGAGAGAGGATATCTCAGCCACCAGTTCACTGAGCCAGGATGAAGTAGGAGCTGGGAACTCCATCCAGGTCTCCCATGTGGGTGGCAGAGCCAAGTACTGAGCCCTCACTGCTACCTCCCCAGGTGCACATTAACACGAGACTAAATTGGAAGTAAAGGAGCCTGGGTATGATGCATGGACTCTAGCATGGCATGGAGGCATCCCAAGCAAGGATTTATCTGCTGCCCACACATCCTCCCTGCTCCATGTTCTTCAGTCTAACCTGCTGGCTCTCCAACATTACCCAGCATCCACATTTATCAGAAGACTTGTAAAGACAGATCGGTGGACTGAAATGCGGAGTTTCTGATTCATTAGATTTGACTGAGGCCCAGAAACTTGTGTTCATTGGCCAGATACAATATTTTTAAAGGATGTGCACAAATTCCTGAGCAATCCTCCTTTGAGAGGGTGGTACCTTATATCTCTCCCCTTGAGCATGGGCTGCAATTTAATGACTCATTTCCAACTACACTCAATAGGAGAATTGGTGTGCATCTTCAAGATGAGGGTCTCAGAGGCAATGGCAACCCCACTCTTCATGGTACATACACTCCATTATATACACTTCAGCTCCCTCCCCCAATCTGCAGGCCACTGAAGCAGCCTGGGAAGGACATGACATCTCTCATCAGTGCCAGCACAAGTGTCCAACCCTGGAGTGAGCCATGTGGCAGCCAACTCTACTCCCTGTGTTGATTGTTAGCATGATTGTAGCCTCATGAGATCCCATACAGCCACTGCTAAGCTAAATTGTTCCTGAATTCTTGACCACTGAAACTGTGAGATGTGATGAATGTCTAGTGGTGTTTAAAGGCATTGAGTCCGCGGCCAGTGTTGTGGTACAGTGGGTTAATCATCTGCCTACAACACCAGCATCCACATGAGCACCAGTTCAGGTCCCAGCCGCTCTGCTTCTAATCCAACTCCCTGCTAATGCTTCTGGAAAACCTATGGAAGATAGCCCAAGTACTTGGACTACAGACACCCATATGGGGTACCCAGATTGAATTCTGGGCTCCTAGTTTTGGCCTGCCCCAGCAGCAAGTGTTGCAGCCATTTTGGGGAGTAAATCAGTAGATGGAAAATATTTGTCCCTCCTTTTCTCTCTTTCACTCTGCCTTTCAAATAAACAAGTAAATCTTTTAATTTCAAAGGCAGAGTGATTATGTGAGAGAGGGGAAAAATACTTTCTCTGCATCACTCCCTAGGTGGCCACAATGGCTAGGGCTGAGCCAGGCCAAAGCCAGGAGCCAGAAGTTTCATCTGGGTCTTCCACATGGTTGCAGGGTCCCAAGAACTTGGGCCACCTTTCATTTCTTATCCAGGTACATTAGCATGGAGCTGGATCAGAAGTGGAGCAGCCAGGACACTGACCAGCACTCATACAGGGTGCAGCCTTGCAGGCATCTGGAGCAGGCAACACCTGCTCCTACAGAAGCATGTTTCTGTCTTCTTGATCATAGAAAAATAATGTCCTGCATGTGCTGCATGTGGATGAAGAACCAGACAGGTTTAGGGCAAAGAAAAATTATTAAAAGATGAGAGCATCATTCTCTCTCACACTCTCCAATTGAGCTGAAGGAAGAAGACAAAACTCTTGATGAGACCAGATAGCACGAGGAGGCATCTGGCTATCAAAGAATGAGAAACCAAAGCCTTTTCATGGTGTCATGAGGCTGCTGGCTCAGCCAGCTGCAGAAGAGACAGTTTACATGATTGTGGTGTCAGAACAGGGTGGACTCACTTCTTGTTTGGTTCTCCCTTGGAGACCAGTACAATCCCCAGCAAGGATGCTTTTCCAAGACTTTTGTTCTTGTTTACTTTCCCAATTGGCAGATGTGTTGAGGAACATTGCATAGATCACAGCTTGTTGAACTTTACACCTGGTTAACCTATACTTGCTTTGGGTGTTGATCATTTTTAACTTTAGGTTTCCAACATGTTAATTAGATTATCAATTTGGGACAGTTCCTCTTTCTAAGGTAAAATTTAGTTCCAAATATTTCCCTCCAGCAGCTGTGTCACATACATTTTGAAGTGTAGTGTTTTCAATAATTGGTTCAATGTCTTTTTTTTTAACTTTATTTAAATTTCCAAAGTACAGCTTTTAGATTACAGTGGCTTCCCCGCCCCATAACCTCCCTCCTACCCACACAGAAACACAAAGTGTAAAGCACTGTTTGGGTACTAGTTATAGCATTAATTCACATTGGACAACACGTTAAAGACAGAGATCCTACATGGGGAGTAAGTGCACAGTGACTCCTGTTGTTGCTTTAACAAATAACACTCTTGTTTATGGCGTCAGTAATCCCCCTACGCTCTTGTCCTGAGTTGCCAAGGCTATGGAAGCCTTGTGAGTTCGATAACTCCAGTCTTATTTAGATAAGGTCATAGTCAAAGTGGAAGTTCTTTCCTCCCTTCAGAGAAAGGTACCTCCTTCTTTGATGACCTGTTCTTTCCACTGGGATCTCACTCACAGAGAACTTTCATTTAGGTTTCTTTTTTTTTGCCAGAGTGTCTTGGCTTTCCATGCCTAACATACTCTCATGGGCTCTTCAGCCAGATCCGAATGCCTTAAGGGCTGATTCTGAGACCAGAGTGCTATTTAGGACATCTGCCATTCTATGAGTCTGCTGTGTATCTCGCTTCCCATGTTGGATCGTTCTCTCCCTTTTTGATTCTATCAGTTAGTATTTGCAGACACTAGTCTTGTTTATGTGATCCCTTTGTCTCTAAATCCTATCATTATGATCAATTGTGAACTGAAATTGATCACTTGGACTAGTGAGATGGCATTGATACATGCCACCTTGATGGGATTGAATTGGAATCCCCTGGCACGTTTCTAACTCTACCATTTGGGACAAGTCTGATTGAACATGTGCCAAACTGTACATCTCCTGCCTCTCTTATTCCCACTCTTATATTTAACAGGGATCACTTTTCAGTTAAATTTAAACACCTAAGAATAATTGTGTGTTAATTAAAGAGTTCAACCAGTAGTATTAAGTAGAACAAAACAAAATACTAAAAGGGGTAAAGTATTAAGTTGTACATCAACAGTCAGGACAAGGGCTGATCAAGTCACTGTTTCTCATAGTGTCCCTTTCACTTCAACAGGTTTCCTTTTTGGTGCTTGGTTAGTTGTCACCGATCAGGGAGAACATATGATATTTGCCCCTTTGGGACTGGCTTAATTCACTCAGCATGATGTTTTCCAGATTCCTCCATTTTGTTGCAAATGACCGGATTTCCTTTTTTACTGGTGTATAATATTCTATAGAGTACATATCCCATAATTTCTTTATTCAGTCCACTGTTAATGGGAATTTAGGTTGATTCCAGGTCTTAGCTATTGTGAATTGAGCTGCAATAAACATTAAGGTGCAGACAGCTCTTTCATTTGCCGATTTAATATCCTTTGGATAAATTCCAAGGAGTGGGATGGCTGGGTTGTATGGTAGGGTTATATTCAGGTTTCTGAGGAAACTCCAGACTGACTTCCATAGTGGCTTAACCAGTTTGCATTCCCACCAACAGTGGGTTAGTGTCCCTTTTTCCCCACATCCTCTCCAGCATTTATTGTTGGTAGATTTCTGCATGTGAGCCATTCTAACCGGGGTGAGGTGAAACCTCATTGTGGTTTTGATTTGTATTTCCCTGATGGCTAGTGATCCTGAACATTTTTTCATGTGCCTGTTGGCCATTTGGATTTCCTCTTTTGAAAAATGTCTATTGAGGTCCTTGGCCCATCTCTTGAGTGGGTTGTTTGTTTTGATGTTGTGGAGTTTCTAGATCTCTTTGTAGATTCTGGTTATTAATCCTTTATCTGTAGCATAGTTTGCAAATATTTTTTCCCATTCTGTCGGTTGTCTCTTCACTTTCCTGACTGTTTCTTTTGCAGTACAGAAACGTCTCAATTTGATGTAATCCCAATTGTTAATTTTGGCTTTGACTGCTTGTGCCTCTGGGGTCTTTTCCAAGAAGTCTTTGCCTGTGCAGCTGGGAATGTATTTCAGTTGGAGCAAAGGGTAGGAACTCAATAAAGATCACTCACATGAGAGGGACCTAAGTGTTTGATCCACAAGCAGTTGTCTTTCAAGGTCTGCATCCGCACAACCTGGAATCAGAAGCAGAGCTGGAACTTGAATACAGGCACTGCATTTGGGATGTGAGGGTACCGAGCAGAGACTTAAATGATGCACCATGCTTTTTAGAGAACACACTTTATCAGTAGCACAAGTCAGTAATTTGTTTTCTGACTTATATGCTGTATTTAATTTTAAAAAAGATTTATTTATTTATTTATTTGAAAGAGTTACACAGAGAGAGGAGAGGCAGAGAGAGAGAAGTCTTCTATCCGATGGTTCACTCCCCAATTGGCCAGAACAGCCAGAGCTGTGCCAATCTGAAGCCAGGAACCAGGAGCTTCCTCTGGGTCTGCCATGCAGGTGCAGGGGCCCAAGCACTTGGGCCATCTTCTACTGCTTTCCCAGGCCATAGCAGAGAGCTACGGAGCAGCCAGGACTCAAACCAGTGCCCACTTGGGATGCAGGCACTGCAGGCATCGGCTTTACCTGCTACGCTACAGCATCAGCCTGCATTTATTTAATTTTTAAGTGATCAAGTACTTTACAATGTGAAAAAAAACCCTTATGCTTAGGAATTTCTTTTTTTCCCACTTCCATTTGCACCTCTATCTGAACATCCAACATTTTGAGGGGGCTTTTGAATTTATACCTAGCCCTATAACTTCTTTCAATGCAATCAGCCCAGAAATATTTATTGAATATCTTGACATCCAGAGCTTGAAAGAGCATACAGTTTCAATAAAGTTGCAACAGAAATCTTCCATTCTAGCTGGAGAATGAGTAAATAATCCCTTGGAAATATGACCTTGTTCCCACTTTGTTTCATGCAGTCAGAATCCAGAGGAAACAGAGAATATGATGTATGACTGCCTGAGTTCAAAACTGTCTCCATCATTGTATCATCTGACCTCAGGCAAGTTACTTAAAGACTAGCTAGATTTTCTCACTAAAAGGGAACTAATGATCATTCATATCACAAAGGTTTTGTGGAGACCAAAGTGAAATAACATGCATAAAGTAGTTAGAACAATGTTTGATACATTGTAGGCACTTTATTAATGCTAGCTATTCTCTTTACTTTTATATTTCTATCATTTGAATATACCAAAAATTCTTCACAGGAGAGGCAAATCTGGGCTGGATCTTGTCTACCTTTATCAGCAACATTTTTTTTCTTTTAAAGTATCATTTTAAGGTAACTATTAAGTCAGAAAATAATTATTTTTATCCTCCTTCTAATCATTAAGCATTGTGCTACACACACAAAAAAATTTGATGGGAATTCAATTAAGGAAGTATTTACTTTTAGTTAGCCATTTGAAGCCAAGAAAGTAATATTGTGAAAGCCAGAGGAGCTATTTTGGGAAAAAAAATTGATCAAACATTGAATAAATTTTAGGCTCTTGTAACAAGACTATATTCTATCATATGAAGTCTTTTCTTTTAATACAAAGAGTTCTGTCCCTGAAGCCCCACTTCCTTATTATTAACATATTATATTACTATACTCACCAGGATTGATGAACCACACCCAGCTTCCCGTTTTTTATTTTTTTAATAAAAGCTACTTCTATTCCTATTATGGTAGTGTATAATAGATTAATACAGTGTGAAATTGTATGTACTCAAAAATGAGAGATATATTGTTATCATTGCTAATATTTTAATGGTGCAAAGTAAAATAAAGATCAAAGTATAAACATATGGAATGGAACAGAAGCAGTGACAATTAGTAACTCTTACCTGTTAAGTATTGTAATAAATTATCATTTTATCAGTTTATATATTATGCTTTTATGAAAGTATGAAGATCTCTCAATTCCTTGAACTTGGGATTCTGTCTTGCAAACATCATTCCTTCTATTTGTGGAATCTAGTACAGTGTTGTATATGCTGCACAGTGAACACAGAATCCATGAATTAGTAAAAGTGATGTGAACTTGTTACCAAAAATTTTTACACCTTTAAGTTTTTACTGTTGACAAAAAGCTAGATGGATTTATGTTCTAAACTTGGAAGGATCAGTTTCCATTTTCTTTGAGAATTTGAACTAAAAGACAACGGAATATTTTTCACCTAAGTTGATAGATGTAACTAAGGGAGAGGGAGATGTTTCTGTTGTTGACATTTTGTGTTTTGTGTAAGTTCTAGGCAAGGGAATACCATTTGAATAATTTAGCAATTATTATTAATAAACAATTATCGTAAAGTTGTATTCATGAAAGTGGGGCAGATTCTATAACCAGTAAGTAAATTAACTTTCACCTTAATTGCAGCTTCATAGAAATCACCTGTTTAGCACCCTAGACATGAAGTCATTGAGCCCAGATGGTGCACCTTTTGAATTTTAGTGTTCCTAGGTAAACAATGCATCCATTTTCTGATGAATTTTAACATGGAGGCCTTTGTCATAACATCTACTGGAAGCCCCTATGTGAGGTTCATGATGCAAGAGGTGTCCCAGATGCCGGTGATTGGACATCTCGCTTGTAATCCATGCTATTTAGCAATTCACACTCAGTTACACCCATGTCCATAGGGCAGGAAACACACAAAATTTCTGTCACTTTCTGCAAAACAATAGATTGTTGTGTTTTCTAAAGATCCTTACTTATCACTGACTGTATTTCGTTTATGGTTTGTTTCCTTCTGACTCGTTAGGACAAAAACTGATTTGCCTAGACCTTTAGAGCCATTTTGTTGACATTTTGGGGTTTTCGGCCTGTAGGAAAGTAGCAGTTAGCACATATTTACTAGGCGTCGTTTCTCTGCAAATATTGGAGAACAAGAAAATTCACAGCATATATTCTGATATATATATATATATATATATATGGATAGATATTCTTGAGCTATATGGATAGCTCAAGTCAAAAGAATACTTTTTAAAATGACTAGGAGTCCAGGTGTTCCTTACCAGCAGCTCAAAGATAAGGAGTGCAGAAAAATTAGGGACTGAAGTAATCTCTTTGAATATCAACTCCTATTTGTTGCATTTTCTTAGACTGACAAGCAAAATTTATCAGTAATCAAATAGGATCTTTATTGTGATAAAGTAGGATATTTCCTTGCAATAAAAGTATGGTTCAACATAAAGCAAAGCAGACAGTGTGATATGCCACATTAACAGGAAGGAGACAAAAGTGATATGGTCATCTAAACAGATGTGGAAAACATATTTAACCAAACTCAACATATTTTTCCACAAAAAGTCAATAAATTATAGAGATTAGTAACCTCAAAATCTTAGTGGATCTGATGAGTTTGATGTAATATCATTGTTTTGATTAGTATTTCTCAAATGATTAGTACCATTGAGTGTTTGTTCATATGCTATTGATTAGTATTTCTCAAATGATTAGTGATGTTGAGTGTTTCTTCATATGCTATTGATCATTTGTATGTCATCTTTAGCAAATGTGTATTAAATTCTTTGTCTCCATTTCATTTGATCATGTGTGGGTTTTTGGTATTTTCTTGAGTTATACAAATCTTTTTATATTCTTGAAATTGACCTCTTTTTCTGTGATGTGCAAATATTTTCTACCATTATATTGGTTTTGGTTGCCTTTTCATTTTGTTGATTACAGTATTGAATGTATAGAAGAGTTTAAGTTTGATATTCTCCACTTGAGCAATTTTGCTTTTCTTGACCCTGGCCTGAAGCACTGGCATCACATATGGGTGCCCATTCTAGTCCCTGCTGCTCTCTTCTGCTCCAGCTCTCTGCTATGGCCTGGGAAAGCAGTACAAGATGTGCCAAGTTCTTGGGCCCCTGTGCCCATGTGGGAGACCTGGAAGGGGCTCCTAGCTCCTGGCTTCGGATCGGCACAGCTCCGGCCATTGCAGCCATCTGGGAGTAAACCAGTGGATGGAAGACCTCTTTCTCTCTGCCTGTCTTCTCTCTGTGTAACTCTGACTTTCAAATAAATAAATAAATCTTTAAAAAAATACACATTTTCAATATAATTTTAATTTATAAAATACAAATTATGAAGTAGAACAAAGATCTTCCATATACTCCACTTTATTAATTAGCATCTCATATTAAGCCTTATATATTTGTTTAATTTAATGAACACCCAGCTTCCCCTATTTTTGATCCTAATTCCATCCCCTCAAACTGTAAAAACTCTACTAGTCAACATTCCACATTCAGAAAAAAATACTTTTATAATTCTCACACATGAAGAAGAACAATGCTATTCTCATTTCTGAATCTGCCTGATTTCACTTAAGGTTATGTCTTCAGTTCCATCCATTTTGCTACAAATGGCAGGATTTTATTCTTGGTTGTGGCTGACTAGTATTTCCTTGCTTGTATGTGTGTGTGTGTGTGTGTGTGTATCACATTTTCTTTATCTGTTCATGATGAATATATTTGTTGATTCCATATTTTGGCTATTTAGGACAGTGCTGCAATTAATATGATGAAGTATATATCCCTTTCTGACAATGAAAATATTGAATATTATTTAGTAGTTGCTATTTATAATGCATTAACTACTTTTCTTTTTGCAAGGGATTTACCATCTCCCAGTGCAAAATTGCCACTTCTTTGTTCCTGCCTTTGCCCTGGTCATGTTATATTTTGAGTTCTGGGTACTGCACTTGAATGAAATGTGGGAAAAAATGCTCTTTTGGGTAAGACCCAAGTCATACCAATTAGGAAAACTGTACAATACTATTAAGTGCAGGGGACTGTTGTTGCTTTTATTAGTTACTGAAGATTTTGGGTATTTAAATTGACTGAGAGTCCTGATTACTGCATAGTAATTAATCAAACTGTTGGCTACTGTCATTGCTGGCATTGTCTAAGAGAGACAAATATTAAATTTACTTCCATTTTTATTTACTCTTTTACAGACCCAAGTCATGGTTAAATTTCCATGATTTGGAAGGGATGGTGGTTGCTACTTTAGTTATTTGTGAAAAGAAAAATCAAAGTTTCCATTCCCCTAGTTTTTAGTAGTTTCAAGGTTTCTATGGAAAATAAATTCTAAGTTACTTGAAATGCTGTTTTGTTTGCTGTTGTTGTGCTAGAGATGTGATATGAAACCTAATGTTTGCTGTTTTATCAGCTTAAAGCTGCCACTTTCAGATAGACTGAGGCTTATGATCTACATAGTTCTGAGAGAATAGGGTTCATCACTGGGAGAAAGAACAAAGCCAATTTCTTTTAGGTAGGAAACACATGGCCTATCCTGAAGCATCACCCAGGATTTGTGACCAAATAAATTGCACTAACTTTCAGTACTCTTGAGCAATAATCTTTGATCTGTTTTTCTTGTAAACAGCAGATTTTTTTTTGTCCAGTAGTGAGCATCCTCATAGAGCAGGAAATACAAAAATTATTTTTTAGATTACCGTCATTTCTTCCAGTAGAATTACATTGCCAAATATGTGGGAATACTGAATAACTTGGTGAAAACAGCCAATAATAACTAATGGGACCAATAAAAGGTGTTACATCAATATCTGTGAGACAGTAGACTCCTCTGCAAATGCTCACAAAAGATTGAGGTTTATAGTGAACAAATAGATCAGTTACAGAAGATACCATTTCTTCATTCTTATTCACATTAATTTCTGAATGGAAATTGAGTGCACTGTATAGGAAATATTTTTTCAGCTATCAGATCAAGAAAAAATAGTTATTTTCCCCATGGAATGTTGAAATTACTCTCATTAAATACAGATTGGTTGAATTTTAAGCAGCTAAATGCAATGCATGTTTGTCAATAAGGAGCTCTTTTGTAATTTTTAGTTTGTCTTGTTAAGAGAATCAGTAAAATTTCTTATATATTTGTAAACACTCTCTTCATGATTAATATGTTTATATCTTGATAACATTTTATTCCTCTTCCGAACTGATACTTTTATTCATTCTCTAATGTAACTTAACTGTCAAGTTCATACCCAACTCCCAAATGAAGTATAAACTAAAAAGCTTGTTCTGTTCCAAATGTTCATTTCTCCAGGGCATAATGGCGCAGAGGACTAGAGTGTAGTGTTTGAGTGGCGGGGCGATGACAAGGTCACTTCAGTACCTTCACATGGCACCGGAGCTGACCCTTCCCACACAGTTACTGCAGGATCTCAGAAAACATAAGTAGATTAAGGAAGATAGATTTCTCAGTTTGGCTCCAATAGAAATTTTTACCTGTTGCCTTTTCTTTTTGTAGAAACAGGCAAATACTAGGACTAAATAAGATTGCTGGATCTTCAGCTTTCTACTTTTATCTAAAGGCATTATTTTTAGTTCAATATAATTCCAGTTGTCTGTTTTTGCTTTTGTTGTCTGTGCTTTTGAGGACTTATTCAAATAATCCTTGCCTGTCCTTATGTCTTGTAATGTTTTTTGTATGTTTTCATGTAGTTAGAATATCTATGACCATCAAGTGAAAGGAGTGAAGATTTTAAAAAAAAAGTACCAAAAATGTGCCAGCGCTCTCCAAGTTCACAGTTTATTTTAATCCTAGTAATGAATTATTTGGAGAAAGATTGTGGGCTACACATTTTGGTGAGATGTTTCAACTAAAGGACATGGATTGGAAAACCCTATTTGACAGGAAAAAGGTTATCAGAAGGGTAAAAACAGCGGAAGGATTAAATGTTTCCAGGCACACCCAGGTCTTGAACAGTTTTCATTCTCTCTGTGTTTTTTTGTCCAGCAGCCATGACATTGGCTCAACTTTTGGAGATACTACTTGAAATTAATGTTTCCTCCACAGATAGTTGATTATTTTTGTCCCACTAAAAATTACTCAAAATCATTTTGCATCTTTATAAAAGATCTTCTCCAAACTTAGCAAATTATAAAGCATTGTGTGGTATTACACGTACTCTTTTAAAATCATTTTGATAATTTGGATAAGTTGGATGATTCTATA